TTTTAAACGATTTGCGGAAAAATAGTATGTTTACCTCGTAGGAAAAGCTACATTCCTGGACTCTGTGTTGCTAAGTCTCGGCTTGCGCCTCGACTTAGCAATCTTCACAGTCGTCCAGGAATGTTAAGCTTTTCCTACCCGGTAAACAATGTACTATTATATTAAAACTTTTTGTAGGATCTAATATAGTAGAATCAACTTTTTTTTGTATAGTAATAGTATTACTATATTAAAAAAAAACAATATAAACCCAATCTTAGGATTTTACGTAGTGTTTCGGAAATGTGTTTTCTAGTAAACATGGTGGTACTTCCTTCGGTTATATGTCCGTGCTAATATTGTTTGTAGTTTTATATATTTAATTAAATATGAAACGATTTTATTTACTTTAAATTCAAATAGATATATTTAGCAAGTCAATATTTTTTGGAATATTTTTGTGTGAACATAAAAACAAAACCATCAAGTTTATTTTTGGTACACTAACATTTGTACCTATTTGTGTATATTAGAGGTTTCGCTTTAAATTATTTATGGAATATATACCTACCAAAACAATAACGTATTGCTATTTTAATTACAATAGAGCATTAGTATATTTCATCGTTATTGCTTCGTTTGATTAAGTCTTGTAGATTGTATTTTTTTTTAATAATACCAATCATAAATATCTTGTACTACGGAAATGTTTAAATATTGGGTAAATATGGAGATTCTATGTTATTGTCATCTGCGAATGCTGTAATTAATGCTATATGAATATTTACTGCCAATTTCTTGAAGCAAAAACATAACGAGGATGTCAAAAACGAAAATGGAGAACTGATGATAAACTTCTGCACGATTAACAAACTAAGAATAAACAACACATTTTTTGACCACAAAGATCAACACAAATATACATTTAATAAGACCCATGGACAAAGATCTATGATAGATTATGTTATAACGAACAGAGATATGCATCCATCGAATATAATCGACTTTAGATGCCTCAACTCAGCAGATGTAGGTAGAAACCATAGCCTTATGTATGTATATTTAATCATCCTGATTCTTATTTTACATAATAGCCAAGAGAGCGGAGCCAACAGAAACAAAAATCAATGTCTAAAGACTAAATATGGAATCTACAGAATACTTATACAGGAAAAGAATATTAGAAAAGATCGCTGGGAATGAAATATTAGACAACGATAACATCGAGAAAAGGTGGGAAAAACATATCAAAAAAGAAAACATCATGGTTTAGAGCGGAAGTGAAGACAAAATTAGATGTGACGATAGCAATTAAGATGACGGAGCGATGCTAAGACTACTTATATTCCACTATGCATCAACAATTTACCCATTAAAATTACCATCATATTTATACTGATTGCGTCGAATAAGGACGATAAATCGAAACGCAACCGTCTTCGTATGAAGACAAAATGTGAACAAAAGAAGAAAGCCTTTTTACAATACAGAATACAACAAACACAACAGGCATAAAACCACTATAAACGAATCCGAAACGAAACGAATACTTTAGTTAAACAAATAAAAAGGGAACACTGGCGGACCTTTCCAAAACAGATGGAAAAATGAAACACCTTCAGAAGGAAACATGGGTAGACTACCAGAGGTCACGACGAACGAAGAAATAAATCTTGAGGAGGAAGAGGTAAAGAAGCAAAAAATAATAGAACAAAACAGAATTCCTCAAGAATAGAGATCAAGCATCCTAATACCTCTCTTCATAAAGGAAGACAAATCGGACCCGGAAAATTACAGTGGAATTAATTTATTAAACACAACACTAAAATTAACAACCAAAGTGATAACAAATAAACTAAATGAAATAGTTGTAACACTAGAAGAAAAACAACAAGGTTTTAAGTCTGAAATGTCATGCACCGATGCTACATTTACAATAAGGCAAATGTAAGAGAAATTATTAGAATACAACAAACCAGCTTATCTATGTTTCGTGGACCTTAAGAAGGTATTTAACAGGGTCAAATTAAAAGACGTTATCCACTTACTGTACGCAAGAAAGACACCTCTAGGATTAATCAAAACGACCGAAAATATCTACCAAAACAACACAATAAAAGTAAAAGTAGAAGAAGAACTAACCGACCCTATTAAAGCTGGCAATAAGATAAGACAGGATATCAAAAAATAGATACCAAATGGGAGACAAACAACTTACAATAATCTGCTATGCAGACGACGCAATACTACTCTTTCAAAGTGAAAGATGTGATGATTTACAACGTCTGCTAAATTAATTTAATATAACCGCCAGAAAATTGAACATGTAAGAACATTCCTGATATGTTTTGTTACGTGTGCGGTGATTTGACAATAGGAAAGCATCAACAAAACATAACAGACTTTAAAATAAAGCTTATCACGCTTACGTGTGTGTGCTTTCAGTGCGTCGAATTACTACTGTGAAAATGGATAAAAGGTATTAACTCTTTACCCTTCGGTATTCCTATGGTATGGAGGGAACCAAAAAACCATGGAGACGACTGCTACTTCTGCTCCTGCGTTACCAAGGGTTTCAATTAAAAAAATAAACACAATATCGTGATTTTCATTCTGCTAAACGACCTGTATCTAATGGGCCAGGAACCCCTATTACTGTTCATGAATGGAGATGGAAGTTCAGACGAAAAAACTGATGAAAACGAATTTAATCCTGAGATAGAGCAACGTCAAAAGTTTATCCAAGCTGAATTAAATGACTTAGTGCGAGACTTCTTCTTCTTCTTCTTCAGATGCAAATCCACTAATGGATGTTAGCGATCACATTTTCCATTAATTCCCTATTTCTTGCAATATGTATCAGAGATTGTATGTCGTTAATCCCTGTCCATTGCCTTATGTTTCGGAACCAGGACATTTTCTTGCGTCCCATTCCTCTCTTGCCTTCAATTTTACCCTCGATTATAAGTTGGAGGAACTGGTATTTTTCATTTCGCATGATGTGACCTAGATACGCCGTTTTCCTTTTCTTGATGGTTTCGAAAAGTTGTTGTTCTTGGTTTATTCTTTTAAGGACATCTATATTTGTGATTTTCGCTGTCAATGGTATTTTTAGGATACGGCGATAAAGCCACATTTCGAAAGCTTCTAATCTGTTTATATCCCTCGTTTTGAGTGTCCAGCCCTCTACGCCATCTAGCAGCACTGACCATACGTAGCACTTAGTAAACCTTAGTCTCAGTTGAAGATCGAACTGAATCGAAGTGATTACTCACTCTTTCAATGGATTTAGTATTCAGTGTTATGGTGGAGTTTTCAAGTGCATCCAAGTTTCTGGAGATGATCATGAATTTGGTCTTTTTGGTATTATTCTCTAATCCCATTCGCTTACTGTATTCTCCGATTATAGTGACAAGTTGTTTAAGATCGACTATGTTGTCACAAATTAAGACACCATCATCAGCAGATCGTATGTTGTTGATCAATACTCCATTTACCTTGATTCCCATCTCTGCATCCTCCAAAGACTCTTGAAATATGGCTTCCGAATAAATATTAAATAAAAGAGGGGAAACCACACATCCCTGTCGAACGCCTCTTCTTATATGTATGGGCTTGGATATAGAATTGTCTATTTTTAACAGTGTTGTTTGATGCCAGTACAAGTTTTCAATGCATCTTATGTCTTTTTGGTCTATATCAACTTTCTTGAGAATCTGCATTAACTTGTGGTGTTGGACACGATCAAACGCTTTTTGGTAATCTAAAAAGCATAGGAACACATCCTTCCTCTGATCGTAACAATTTTGGACCAGCACCTGTGCGAGACTTGGGCCTATCCAAGGATGCTGGAGTGGATCCAAGGGTGTCTTGTTGCACAATTATAATACTTATGCCTCAAAAATAATATCCATGCTTTTGGGTCAGCAGTCTGGATTTACAAAGTATCCATGTTTTTGTGCGAGTGGGACAGTTAAACACGAAATTTACATTACGTTAAGTAATAGTGGCCACTCAGAGAAAGACTTGGACAAAAAAAATGTGCAACATTATACACTAGTTGACCCAAAATTAGTTCTTTTGCCTCCACTTCACCTAAAGTTAGGATTAATGAAGCAGTTTTTCAAAACTTTGGATAAACAAGTTGACTGCTGTAAATATCTGTGCGACAAATTTTCTGCATTTTCTGAAGCTTAGCTGAAAGAATAAATTTTTGTAGGTCCTCAAATTCTGAATGAATCTGAAGTATGGAGGTCTTTCGTACAAGTCATAGACGGTTTCCTTGGAAAAAAGAAGTCTCCAAACTATAAAGAAATTGTAGCCAACATGGTCGAAAATTATGAAAAACTGGGATGCAATATGAGCGTCAAATTTCATTTTCTGGATTTCCACGTTGACTATTTTCCCGAAAATCTTGTTGTTGTTAACAAAGAGCAGGGAGAGAAGTTCCAGAAAGATATAAAGGAGATGTAAAGACGTTGCCAAGGAAGATAGGATATAAGAAGAATGTCCGATTACTGCTGGACCTTAAAGAGAGCCTTAATCACAAAAATCCATAAAAAGAACACCACAAAACGCAGTTTTCACGGAAAAGAGAACGGTTTTATTCAAAAAAACCAAATATACCAAATACTGTCTAACGTAGGTTATACTGAATTCTTTTTTTTAAGAACAACTTAATTTTGCAGTGTAATTTTGTATTAGATAAAGCGTCAATAAATATTTTCTCAGTATTTTTGGCAGTTTCTATGAAAAATTTCAAACACACTTTTCTTGAAAACCTGACGTGCTGGAAAAAAAAACAAAGTACAGATTCGTGATCAGCACATGCCATATACTATAAGACACCTATTAAACTTAAACTTAAACACTTTTTAATAAACCAAAATGTAGACCTGTGTAATTATTAAATAATTATTTTGCATTATAAAGCTTGAGTCAAAAATAATTTTGTACATACGTACAATTTCGATAACTTTATATTGAATAGACATTAACTATTGTTTTTTTTTTATTTTCAGGAAAAGAGAAGAAACAAAATGAAAAGCCTCCTTATAGTTACAACGCGCTAATAATGATGGCAATAAGGAACAGCCCCGAAAAGCGGTTAACACTCAACGGCATTTACGAATACATAATGAAAAATTTCCCCTATTACAAGGATAATAAACAGGGGTGGCAGAACTCCATTAGGCACAATCTAAGTCTCAATAAATGCTTCGTAAAAGTTCCGAGACACTACGACGATCCTGGAAAAGGCAACTATTGGATGTTGGACCCGTCTGCCGAAGATGTTTTTATTGGTATATACATTTCTTTAAATATTTATGTGCATAAATATTTATTACTAAAAATTTCAATTCATATTTTTTTAAATTTTTTAATAGTTCGATGCTTGTTTTAACACATTTCAGAGCTTTTTATTTATTGTAATTTTATTGGCGTTTACCAACACTTGGTTTTTATTTCTTTTTTAATTATAAACCTTTACCTACAGATGGGGATGTTTTTTTTTTGGGTTTTGTTTTTAGCAAATATCGTATCTCTCTTTGGATCAAGAACGTGCTACCTTAAGCAGATACTTTAACATTTTCCTTGCCGGATCGCTACATAATCGCTCACTCGACCATTTCGTTATTTTGTTAGATTTTATACGAATTTTCAGTATTGTCTCTTCATCTTTGAAAGTATGGCCTGTAAGGGGATCCAGTCTCGTTGTCTACGGATGATCTGGGATATGTTATTTCTCTTACTTGTTTGATTTGCATTTTTCTGGTCTACTCTTGCACTATGAGAAGCGCAAAAACGGGTACTTACTCTCGACAGAGCCGCGGGTACCGATAGAAGGATAATGAAACCTGAATGTCGCATGATACCCGGAGTTGCGCCGTTATTAACTTTTGTTTAGTAGTGTTCCGTGCTCACCTCAAAAAATAGGTAGCCACGACTAAGCATGAAGCACACCTCAACAACGATAAAGCCCGGGCTTTATCAGATGCTCGGAGTCACAAAGCTCTATAAAGAGTGCTTGGATTCTAACTTGGACCAAGTGGACTTGTATAAATGAACTTGTACCAAGTTAGTTGCCACGGTTAAATGACGGAGGGCAAATACCCATTGGAAATATGACGGAAGTAATTGAGAAAGGTGTTCTAGTGGTTGCTAATACGTTAATACATGAGTTTGAAATTTAGAAAAAAAAGGAAGAAAAAAAGGAAAAAAAATTTAGACTCTTTTAATTGGTAATGTAAACCTAAAGCGCTGGCAGCTTCATTTAACTTTCTAAGTGAGGTAGCAAATGAAGATAAGGCTACATTTCAACACCATTTAAGACTAACTACTGAATAATTTAAACAACTATTGCGAATGATCTATCCAAAAATTCAAAAATTTCGATTAGATTTTTCGACACCGACGCCATTTTAATTTTACAATATCACACTACTTGGATGCAAGAAAGTTGACCAACATCCTACTTAACTTGGATAAAACCTGTTGATACAAGTGTACTTGGTGACAAGTACTTGGATCTTTCCCTGCATGACTAGTTGGAGACTTTAACCAAGTACACTTAAATCTTGTTAACCCTCCTTAAATGTTATGTAAATGTTTTTTTATGTTGTACAGTAATACAATGTGAACATAATTCTCATACCAAAATTTCAGATGGTAAGACATGGTCTGATGTTAAAAATGTGTTTCTGACTTTTTCAGTTCTACAAAATAGAATTAGCCAAAACAGAATATAGATAAAAAATAGTATAAGAGAACAGACAAGCAGATATTATTGCTAAAGTTACGTATTTCTTTTAGGAAAATGCACAAAATAATCATTATTATCATCTTTGGCTCGACAATCCTCTGTGAATCCGGACCTGCTCTGAGATGAGTCGCCATTCGGTTCGGTTTCTGGCAACGTGTTGTGTTGTCATCTTCTGATCTCTAGTATCCCTCAGTCAGTCTTAATTCCATCTATCCACCCAATTCGCGGTCGACCTCTACTTCTTCTTTCTATAGATGTTCCTGTCGTTTGCTTTTTAGCAATCATGTTGTCAGGCATTCGTATTACGTGTCCGGCCCATCTAAGTCGCTGTATTTTAATGACCTTTACGACATTTGGTTCATTAAAGATATTGGTATAATTTAAATTTAAATATTTTGCGCCACCGCCCTTGATCGTTTATAGCTCCAAATATTTTATCTGGATCTAATGCAGATGGATCTAATCCATCTGCATTAGAGTCCATGTTTTAGCCCCGTATGTGAGAACCGTCCTCACCAGTGTTTTGTACATAATAATTTTAGTTTTTCTTTAGATATTTCTTGAGTGGAATTGTTTTTGGAGTCCATAGTATGCCCTATTTGTAAGGTTTATTCATCTTTTATTTCGTTGCTTGTTTTATTGGTAGTAGTCATTAGCGAGCCAAGGTAAGTGAAGTGTCAACACGTGCAAAGATATGACTTCCAAATGCTCTTTCCCGTTCATCGTTTGCTATAGGATCCTTAATAACCAACAAATTTTTGGTTTTGTCTTCGTTGATTACTTGACCGACCTGTTTCGCTGCTGTTTCCAATTCTATGTCAATGTCGTCAGCGTATGCTAAGATTTGTATTGATCCGATGTCTATAATTCGTGTGTATCGGACTGCCTTTTCCAAGGCAATGTTAAATAGGAGGCAAGCCAGGGCATCTCCTTGTCTGAGTCCATCCTTTATCTCAAAGGGTCGAAAATTTTCTCCCTGTATCTTAACACTGGCTTTTAAGTTAGACATTGTCATTTTCGTTAATGAGAATTTTTCTGGTATACCAAATTCACACATTGATTGGTATAGTACTGTTCTCTTGACACTGCCGTATACGTCTTTGAAGTCGACGACTGAATCTGACCAATTGTTGATTTTTCTGGAGTAAATCCGGCCTGGTATTTTCCAACTATGCCAACTATGTAAATTGTAGAGAATATTTGCTAGTATTTGGTAAACAGTTGTTAACAGGGTTATTCCTCTGTAGTTGTCACACTGGAGTTGATCGCATTATTTTGGTAACAGGCATATCCCGCCTTGAGAACATTCACAGGGCATGGTCTTATTTTGCTAGACAAGAAGTAAAAATTTCTGCAGTGCTTATAGCAGAGAGTCGCCACCATTCTTGTGGAGCTCACTACAAATTTGATCAGTTCCTGGTGATTTATTATTTTTAAACTTGTTAATGACTTGGCAACCCATTCAGTGGTAGGTGGTATTTTATTTGGGTTGAATAGATTTGGGTGTTTTCAGCTTCTTCGTTATAATGGCCGTTAAATTTTGCGTCGAAAACTTCAATACGTCTGTTCAAAATTAAGGCCGTATCACTTAGGATATTTCTGTCTCGATCCTTACAGCTCTTTACTTATTTTTTTACATTTCTGTAGAACTTTTGAGTTTCATTTTAATTTCTTGGCTATTCCATGTTTTCTCACTTCTTCTTCTTTATGTACCATGTCCTTTCAGAACGTTGGTTACCATCATAGCTATTTTAATTTTATTCACTGCCACCCTAAATAGCATGCTTGTATCTACACCATACCAATCTCGCAAGTTTTTCAACCATGAGGTTCTTCTTCGTCCTGGACTGCGTTTGCCTGCTATTTTTCCTTGCATGATATTTTGTAGCAATCTATATTTGGGACCTCTCATTACATGTCCGAAATATTCCAGCTTTCTCTGCTTGATGCTTTTTATGATCTCAGTAGTCTTGCTGAGACGTTCTAGTAATGTGGAGTTACGATTCTTCTCCACCCAGGAAACTTTTAAAATTCTTCTATAGCACCACATTTCGAAAGCCTCAAGGCGATTTAGATCGATTTTATTCACAGTCCAGGACTCGACAGCATAAAGTAAGACCGAGAACACGTAGCAGCGAAGTAGGCGGATCCTTAATGCCAATTTTAGGTTTCTGTTACATAACACCTTGGACATCCTTCTAAAAGCAGCTCTAGCCTGCTCTATTCTGGATCTAATTTCGCCGTGATTTTCTGCATTACAATTTAATTGCTGTCCAAGGTAGACGATTTTATCAACTTGCTCAAGTTTGGTATTATTTACATATATAGACGGTTTTATATTCTGTTGTTTACTTATTACGAGTATTTTGGTTTTCCTTATGTTAAGATCCAGACCTGCCTCCCTACAACTCTCAACGACGCTATCAAGTAATGTTTGCAGATCATCTTGACTAGAAGCTAGGAGTACTGTATCGTCCGCATATCGCAAATTATTGATGACTTCGCCGTTCACAAGTATTCCTTCTTGTTTTTCAGAAAGTGCTTTTCTGAAAATTCTTTCGGAGTAAACGTTAAAAAGCAGGGGTGACAAGAGGCATCCCTGCCGTACTCCTCTTTTAATATTGAGAGCTTGTGATTCCACACCATCTACTAAAACTGATGTTGTTTGATTCCAATATAAATTTGCAATTATTCGAACATCTCTGCCGTCCAAGCCAATGTCTTTTAGAGCTTCGATCAATATAGAGTGCTTAATACGATCAAATGCCTTTTGAAAGTCAATAAAACAACAGTACATGTATACAGATATATCACGACATCTTTGAGCAAGTACGTTAATTCCAAACAGTGCCTCTCTCGTTCCAAATCCGTTACGGAAACCAAACTGAGTGTCATCCAGGTATTCCTCACATTTATTGTAGATACGACCATGTACTACTATTACAGTTTTCTAACTGCTTTTCTTCAAATTGCCTGTTTTTCTTCTATTAATCTTTTTCTACCCTTCTTAGGGTCCGGTATTCCTCCTTTGCACTTCTTGTGCATCTAGCTTGATTTGTTTTTAGGAATGCTCTATTTTTGTTTTCTGTTGCTTCTTGATAATCCTTGTCAAACCATTCGTTTTGTCTAACTCGTTTGGTTTTCCCAATATTTTCAATGCCTTCTTAGTTATTATATTTCTACGTTTTGTCCACAATTCTTCCACATTTACTTTCGCTTCCAGACTATCTATTTCCTCATCCAGGTGTCTTTTATACTTCTCGGTTTCAATGCAGATTATCAAAATAATGTTGTCTTGTTTCATATGTTTATCCTTCTTAAGGTTTACAATTCTTTCTTTGATTGTTGCCATTTTAAGAAAGAGGTTACTATCTATGTTTGGATCCCGGTAGCTTCTGACATCGCTGAGGTCCAAAGAATACCTTGTATCTATTAGGAAGTGATCTGTATGGTTAACGGTTTCGTTGTCAGGTGATTGCCATGTTACTTTGTTTCTTTGTGCATTATTGCACAAAATAATAGAAAAGATCCAAAATGTTC